CCTTTGTAATTGGTAGGTATTATACGCATTAGTATTTTAATAATAATGAAGATGACATGATAAAGTAGATAACTGATTCTTCGTAACTTGAATTTTTTTAGTAAGTTTCTTTAACTGTTCAAATAGTAGAATATTTCCTAATGCAAGAAGTAGAACTCTGCAACCCCGAAGAACTTATAAAGGCAAGAATATTTAAATAATTACATGGAAGAATCAAAGATGCAATTAAGAATACAGCCAAAAAAACCCCAGCACCAAGAGAGTTAATTTAAAATGTGAGAGCAGGTGGTAAGTACAACTAGTTGCCCCTAAGAAACCAGAAAAAAAGTGGTTGAAATGTTTCCTTTCACTGTATCCCCTTTTATATTCTTTAAATATGCTTGAATATACATACATTTCCCATCCAAATGTGCATTTTAGACAAATGGAAGAGAAGTTGGCAAGAATTTTATTGTTTGAGAGTAGTTTGATTCCTCCAGAACTACCAAAACTGTACAACCTTACTGCAAGATGTATACCCTAAGACTATCAAGAGGCTGGGCAAATGCTCTTCCAGTTTTTCTCACAGGAGGAAAATGTAACTTTTGGAAATTAACACATGTCACCTTATGAGTGAGAAGTTTCAGTAGAGAATTTTTTTTAATTTTCTATGAACATTTAGAAAAGATAGCGGTTATTACTAATAGGTATCGAGAAAACTTTCTGTGTTCAGACATTACATAACTTAATTCTTGAAACTAAGACTTGGCTACATAATTTTTGGGGCCCAGTGGAAAATGAAAATGCAGGGCTTCTTATTCAGATATTATTGAGAATGTCAACAGTGTGGCAGCAGAGCATGAAACGAAGCCTGGGGTTCTTTGAGTGAAGGGACCTGGGTGACGCCATAAGTTGCCTGGCATGAGGGTGGCGCTGTTTGCAGCAGCCTTGTGAGACATCTGTTACCATTCCTATTATTTATATGAAGAAAAGAAGGCAAGAGTCTGAGACACAAATGAACCTACACTAAATGCTACCATATGTCAACTGTGGACCTGGTGTTTGAGAATTGTGAGACCTGGCTCAAAGACCCCCACTTTTAATCGCTGTAAGAAGTCTAAACGAACTCTTTGCCATTTTTACTAGCTGATTAACTGACAGATCAGGGAAATACTATTTAAAAACGAATACATTTTATTTGCATGACGACATTTGGAAGTCATTTTCAATATACTAATAATCAAAATGGAAGTGTGTGTGGGATGGGTGAAATAAGTAAAGAGGATTAAGAGTATACTTACATTGATGAATACTGAGGAATGTACAGAATTGTTGATTCATTGTATTGTACACCTGAAACTAATGTAACACTGTATGTTAATTGAGCAAAAAAATGAGGAAAGTTGACTGAATAAGAATTTAGTTAGGTACACTCAATGTCTGTTGAATATAATGCAAACTATGTTATATTCTAATTCTGACCCTGCTCTACTCAGCATTTTAATGGAGACCTTAAGTCATTCTTATTAGATTTTTATTTGTCCTGATGTTTAGTTGTTTTAATGTATTTGGATGACATAATTCCATAGTTCTAAAGATACATGGGAATGATAGACTTAAAACAACAATTTGAACAGAAAAGTTCTGAAATTTTTCTCTGCCTGCAGAAGTAACATTTAGCAGAAAATGTTTTATTGTAGAAAGTTGGAAAAAAGAATATAGAAATATATAGTCTACTATTGAAATTACCTGTGCTTTCTCTGCCAAAACATAATCACTGATAGTTATAGTTTGCATTCTTCACTCGGTACTATAATGTAAACATTTTCCAATGACATTGAAAATGTTTGGCACATGTACAATAACTCTATCACATGCCTGTCCTGTAATTTCTTGAAGCCAGTGCCTCCAGACATTAAGTTTTTTTCTGTTTTACCATTATGCTGATCCTATGAACAGGGACAAGTGTTACATGCAGCCTATAGCATCAAATACATTTAAATATGAGGCTATTGGCTGAGGGAAATTTGCTTATGAACACTTAAGAAGAAACTACCTTGATTACTGGATGTTTAGTGCATGTAATTAGTTTGCATACTTGTATTTTTCATGTGGCACACACTTGTCTCACAACTGTTTGTGTGTTTGTCACCTTCACTACTATGCTGTAAGATCACTAAAAATCGAAATTCCATTTTATGCATTTCTGAATGTTCCGTAGTGATACATTTAGACTATATGTTGGAATTTAATTAAAACGTGATTCAGCTGCTGAGCAACTCATATAATTTTAGTTTGCCTTAATTACATAGGAGGTCCAAAGCTAAGAAACCTAAGTTTAGGAGCACCAATCAGATTAAATCTAACTCTAGCCCATACCTGGTATTTTAAAACTTGGAAATAAGATTTATCAGAGTCATGATTATCAGTCTTCACATCTTTTAAGACTGTCAGATAGGAACAATACTCAGCTTCCTCTATGTCGGTTCAGGGTTCAAAACAAGCTTTAAATGAACCAAGTCATAATAAGACAGGCTTCCATTAGGTGTAAAACTTTGCTAATGGGAAAATTTGCTACCATATTCAGGAAGGAGTTGTCTCCTTCTGGGAATAGTAAATCCTATAGTAAGTGTAAGGTTATACTAAATGACCTCCATAATCCCTTCCTCTCTGTGTTTCTAATGATTCTAACACATAATTAAGTGTTTACAGTCAATAAACTAAAAGTCATGGGGGAAACGTAGTAGTTGACCTTGTGGTTTTTATTTGATTATATGGCTAGGTTTTGAAAGTTATTATTAATTTGTCATATATAACAAATAATATCCTATGGCTACAGGGTCAGTGCACCGTTGTTGTTGTTGTTGTTTTCATCCTGAAGGAAATGGAGGAATATTTCCAATTATACTAATGATTATAGTGTAGAACAATTGCAGGTTTGTGTCTCACTATTAATTCATTAAATAGATTATTTTTTCTTTCTGAGAAGGTTTGCCATATTCCTAAATGCCTTTTCATAGTATGTGTTGTTGCCATTTCTCTTTAACCTCCCCTCCATGGGTACATCTATCCAGTTTAATAAGTATCAATGAGAAGATATTATAACTTTATAGAAATTAACTCCATAGCCAGATATTCAGTAGCACAAATGTTTCACAACATTAGATACAACTGTAAACAGTAGGTTTGCATTTTCAGAATTTCTGCATTCTGGTACCTAACATAAAATTAAAATTTCCCCCGAACAGTATTCCCTTCAAGCCATCATTGTATACAAAAAAATTTGCTCGTGGTTAAAAAATACTATTCTGAAATAATGAAATACTCTTGGAATCCTCCTCAAAAACTACATTTTTTATTTATTAAAGGTAAACTTAATTTGATTATGTAATGATCATTTGTGTTGAGTGCAGGTAGGTTTGAGGTTATATTTTAAGCATTTCTTGACAGCTGTGTTTTCTGCCTCCATTTTGGTGTAACTTGTCAACGGACTGTATAAGTATTGTTTGAGGCTCAATGATGGATTCTAAATCATGAATCCATGGAGATCTTAAAGAAGATAAAACCAGTGCTTGACACATGCGTAAACTCAGTATTTCTTAATGTCCTTTAAAAAAAAAAAAAAAAAAAAAAAAAAAAAAAAAAAAAAAAAAAAAAAAAAAAAAAAAAAAAAAAAAAAAAAAAAAAAAAAAAACAAAAAAAAACTAGCCTACTGAAATGGAAGTCTCTAAGTCCTTGACATATGGAAGGGCAGCATTTCTAAAATGTATTTGTCAAAACCAATTTTTACACAAGACATTGTGACAAAAAATTTCATTACATCACTGACAATTGCCTCTTTGGAACCTGCAATAAGAAGATCCTGAGGCTTCCCTGATTTCCTCCCATTGAAGGAATCAGTCATGTGTGAGGTAGGGAGGTTATCCCAGACCCTTTCCATACCTCCTGGCATGGTCAGGAAAATTAGTCAAACTGATTTGAGCTCAGTCAGATTCCTAGCTCTGTGCACGTCAAGTACCTATAAATGGGTCTAATGAAGGCCTCTTTTGGTCTCCCTGTACATTGATCTTCCAAATGATTTAGATTACTAGAAGAGTAATAATGATTAACATCTCAACAGGTAACTATTCAGTTCTAATCACAGGAGGACTGTGTGAGAGGGAGTTGGTGGTTAGGGAAGGAAGGGAGAGTGTCTCCCCATTGCACAGCTCATCTGGTATTGCCCATTTACTGAGGTGATGGCTTCTCATCAGTTGGATCGCAAACCATATTATTCCAAACAGTGGTGATCTCCACTTAATAGATGGTTTTTTAAAAGTCTAAACACAAAGTTAGTGTGCTTCTAAACCAAGAAGTATCTTTAATGCTAACGGTGGAAACTCAAATATTTTAAGTTACTAATTAAACAAGGATAGTATGCTTTTTAGCTTAAATATGCTTTTGGACTAGTAGGTACTTTATGTTAACCTTTTTTTTTTTGTAGTCTTAAAGGGTATTTCACTTATTTGATTAAAAAGTAATTTATTGTCAAGTTCAAATAATTTTGTCTAAAAAGGTGTGGATGATAACTAATTAGTATATATGATAACTAAATATGCATTCACCATACTAATAAGCATCTGCGGTATGCTAAGGCAATGAAGTTGGTGCTGGTCTACCTTATAAAATTTATATTAATGTGGTAAGCACTTTAAACAGTACGTTTAATTAACTGTCAGAGTGAAACCCTACATTTTTCTCCTTTGCCCGCCCCCCCTTTATTTCCCATAGCTTGACCAATCAATTGAAGAGACGCTAAGTTTACTTCTGGTTTTGAGATTACTTCCCTTTGTGATTTAACTCAACATAAGTTAAGTCAGATAAAACAATTTGATTTGGGTTCAATATGGTGCTATTTTGATCTGAAGGTCAGTTTACCAACAGGCAGGGACAGTTTCTCATTATTTTCCTTTGCTGCTCCGTGCAGTCTTTACTGAAGTCTTTCAAGCAATGTGTGACCTCTGTTTCAATACTTCTCCTAGATTTCACAGGCTGTCCCCACCACTCAGCCATCACTAACACAGACAACTGTAATGGAAACGGTAACTATGGTGACCACGAGGGAGCAAATTCTGGTAAAGCATGCCCAAGAGGAACTGCCACCACCACCTCCCCAAAAGAAGAGGCAGATTATTGTGGATTCCGAAATTAGGAAAAGGTGAGAGGCTCTTACTCATGGCTTTATCCTGAAGCAAAAAGTAATTGTTAAGCAGGAAAACTCATTTAGAGCTGTTGGATGGTAGTGCGTTTATTTAAACAATATTTCTAGAAGCCTCAGGTGCCTGTAATGTCAGTTAAGTTAGAAAAATTGTGAAGTGAATTTTAAAATTTGCCCCAGGAATCGGCATCCTAACAAAAGCTTAGTGCTTAATGGAAATATTGTTTTCCTGGATTAAAAGAAGAAACCACGGGTGATGAACTGCCACAGACTCATTTTATCCTGAGTTTTTTTCCCCCCTTATGAAGAGTCTGTTTGTTCAGTGCCTACTTTTGCATTACGTGTCTTTTCTTCCAGTAATGGAAAGTACATTTTCATGAAGAAGAAGTACACCTATAATAGACAAGATCCATTCTGCTAGTTTATGAGAACATAATGTCTCAATCTGCACATCCTAAATCAGGAGTAATTACAGAATAGATTTCCTGTTCTTTGATATTTATAAAGTCTTATCTTGAAGGTGTTAGAATTTTTAACTTGTCTTTTGGTGGATATTTGCAACTAGACATTGTAGATAAGTTAGGTATTATGTACATCCTTGGGTATATTAAAATGATGAGAATAAAATTTCCTAAATGTAGAACTACCATGAAAGTCATAAAAGGGTACAGTTTCTTTTTCTTTCCAATTATTATCATTCTAAGATTAAGAAAGAACATTAAAATCTGCCTTATGTTTCTTAGCAGCATATGTTTAGGAATGCGTGGAACACTTGACATTAGAATTTATGTATACAAGGGTATAGAAGTATGAGAAGAAGAACACATACCTAAAAATAGCATGTCAGATGTTCTAGACAAAGGAAAAAAAAAAACACCTAGAGAAGTTACTCAAGTACATTATTTGGGACTTTCAATACTTCTCTTTTAATCCGTGATTTGTAACCTGCCGTCATAATTCCCGCAGTGAACTGCTAGGCTTTTCTCCCTGGTTGTATCTGCGTGGCTGGGTGAATCCTCTCATCCAATGGTCAGCAAACTGAAGCCAGTTGACTAGGTCCACCTTACTTCCAGTTTTTGTATGGCTCATGAGCTAAGAATTCTTTTTATATTTTGAAATGGTTGAAAATGATCAAAAGAAGGATATTTTGTGACATGTGAAAATACTATGAAATTCAGGTGACAGTGTCCATAAATAAGGTTTTATTGAAACACAGCCACAGTCATTTATATATACATCATCTGTGGTTGCTTTAACATTACAAGGGCAGGGTTGGGTGATTACCACAGAGACTATATGGCCCACAAAGCCTAAAATATTTACTATCTGGCCTCTCACAGAAGAAGTTTGCTGACCCTCATTCCAGTTAAATGGTTCTTTGAATCTTTAAGCATTAGCATTCTATTTGGGGCAACAGCTTTCAAGGATCTACTCCTAATAGTAGCTGAAAATTTAACATTGATGGAAAAAAAAAAAACATAATGGCAGAAACAAATCTGTAAAGCTTTTAATGAATCTGCATTTTATGAACCTAATACCATGGATATTAATTTCACGTCATGTGAAACATGTGTCTCCAGACAGTGCTTAGTGGAGACATGGATTTACGGATCCTTTGCGACAACTCAACAGCTCTTCACCAATTTTCTAAGCAGAGCAGTGTGGAAACCTAGTTGTCTTACCCTCCTAATGTGTTCAACATTCTACTAATACAGAAATCAGCAGAACAAGTTGATTCATGTCCGTCTCTCTCTTGGCTCCTGCCAAGTATATTCTTGGCTTCTGTTTGGTGAATGTCATTTGGTTAAAGAAAATAAGTTCTGATTGCTTTTTGTTTTCAGGAAAGTGTGGCTAGTGGTGAAATATTTTGTCTCCTAAATTCTGTTTGCATCTTATCCTCAGCAGTTTTTATAAGTGCCTGAAATGAGATGACCAATTGGGACCATAAAGAATATATTACTTAAATAAAAGCTAACACCTACCGATGATTTTATTGTGTGCTCAGTGCTAGATTAAATGCTTTATCTGCATAGCATGTTTATTCTTCGCGGTTACCCTACAAGATAAGTATGGCTAATATTACTATTATACACTGCTATAGAATATCTGAGCCAGGATCTCAACTGAGGTAGCGTACTACAGAAGCTAGACTGGGTAGGAATATGTTTCTTCAGTAGATAAATGATTCATGTGATCTTACGTCTTGGTTTCCCTAAATCCATCCCAGGTTATATGTTTTGTGATATCATAATTATATGTAAGACCAACTTTCACTGTCAAATATGTCCAGATATGGACAGTACAATAAGATGGATGCTTTATATAAGATTCTAGATCAATAAATTTGTACTGAACAAAGAGCAGAAACATGTGAACATTTAGGACGGTTAAATTCAATAAGTGATTGGGGTGCCTGTGTGGCTCAGTCAGTTAGGCGTCTGACTTTGGCTCAGGTCATGATCTCACAGCTTGTGGGTTCAAGCCCTCTGTCGGGCTCTGTGCTGACAGCTCAGAGCCTGGAACCTGCTTCGGATTCTGTGTCTCCCTCTGTCTCTCTGCCCCTCCCCCACTCACACACACTCTCTCTCTCTCAAAAAATAAACATTTAAAAAAACTTAAAAAAAAAATCAATAACTGATAATTGTCTACAGGATGACAGCTGCTTAAGAGAGTGTAATGGTTCAAGTTGCATCATACAAACATGACTGAAAACTTCATGATAGCTCGTGCCTGTCTCTTGTCCCATGTGAGAACCACTAGCACTTAACTGTCAAGACGGTAGTCTTGACAATCTTTTGAATGCTCATCTTTTAAAAATGACCTCCTTTTTCATCTTCTCTGACACACAACTAGTTCTGCACCTACCACTGGCTTGTTTTGTACCTTTGCCTAATTACTATCATAGTATCTCATAAATGCATGGGTTTTGCTTTTTTTATTTCATTTGAATTGCTTCTTTATGTTGATTCAAGTCTGGCACTAAGTGAATGACCCTGAGATCTTACTTACAGCTCCATATCTGACTCTCTCCCCTAAATTTCATGTTTATATCTTTATTTTATTTTTTTTTTATTTTTTAATGTTTATTTATTTTTGAGAGACAGGGCAATGCAACATGAGTGGGGGAGGGGGAGAGAGACACACACACCCAGAAATCCGAAATAGGCTCCAAGCTCTGAGCCGTCAGCACAGAGCCTGATGTGGGGCTCAAACTCACAGAGCTGTGAGATCATGACCTTAGTCAAAGTCGGACACTTAACCGACGGAGGCACCCAGGCCCTCTCATGTTTATATCTTTAAAACTATGTACTTTACTTGTGCATCTAGTCAGTGTGTCAATATTTTTTAATCAAATGCAAACCATTGTTGCCTCTGTATATTTAACTACACCAACTTTTACATTGTGCAAATATTTTACTTCTTAAAATTTCTTGCCTGTATGTCCAAAGGAGTGGCCAATATTGGGAAAAACATGGACTTTGGAACCAGAATTACTCATGGTTGAAACCTGCCTGTCTTAACTATAAGCTTATGATTCCAGGCAAATTACCTAATACCTGTGCCTCAAATTCACTCTCATCACTTTATAAAATACTGAGGATGAAGTGGAAACATTTGATATAGTGCCTGTAAGGTAGTAAGAATTCAGCGAATGCAGTAGCTGTTTTTCTTGTCATTTGGATATGGTGGACATGGAAGGGTTAGGGGTGGATGTGGTGGAGGTGATGGAGGTGGGAGAGATGGTGGTGGAGACAGTGGTGGGAGAGGTGGTGATGGTGATGAAGGCGGCAGTCGGGGTGGGAGTGGAAACGGTGATCATGTGCTATTGGTAAAAAAAAAAAAAAAAACCCATAATAAACATCATCTCAAACTTAAAGAATATAACAACAGATTACCTTCTCATCTTCCTCTTGAAAACAAAATTTACCACCCGACTTTTCCATTTCTGTCAATCTCAGCTCTCCTGTCTTGTCCTTTATTTATTATTATTGCATTATACTATTGGGCTAGTGAGCATTTCAGTTATTTCCCAATCATTCTAACTGCCAACTCCATAACCTAAGCCATATATGTCCATGCTGTGATGCTTGCCCCCTTTCTGATTAATCCACATCAAATTAATGTATCTAAAATGTGGGTTTTATGCTGACCTTCCAGACTTGAGATCGTGGTAACTCCAGTTACCCCCAAAATAAAACATAACTCACTTCTTACGATATTCAATATTATCTGCCATCATTCTTATTTCTAGCTTCCCCAGCATCTTTCCACTTCAACCAGTAAATTACATTACCTTCTTTTGGTAGATGTCTTACTGTTACCCACATCAATTTTTCTCATCACCACTTACAACAAAGGGGTCCTATTATTATCCTCCTTTATATTTTACTTAGATCCCATATATATAGTACCATGCATGCAATAGTCAACGGATATTTGTTGAAAGAGTGAATAAATACAGTTCAACTAATTGTGATGATTAACATTTTATATTTCTTGGCACTTAAGAATTTTGCCTGGTTCTTCATGGAATGGTTGTTAATAAACAAATGAACATTCTAATAAACTTTAATAATTCTATTTTTGCCCATTAGGACATTGTCATTTACTCCCAACTGTTAAAGGATTTAAGACTCGGCTTTGTACCACACTTGTTTTTTGTTTTGTTTTGTTTTTAATATCTAAGATGTGTTTAGTTGATTCCTTAATAATTACACAGTTTCTACTGTTGTTGTATTTACTGCATAAATTGTCCTCCTCACACTAAGATATACAAAAATGTTAATGATGTTGGGTCACAGGGTAATTATTTTTAACAGTAAATTATCCCTGCGGTTCAGTGATATTATTTTACATATAGGTAATTATCAGAGTATGGAACTCAGACTATGTTAAAACTAGATCTATTATCTAGTTAATTGGAATTTATTGAGGAGATTAGTTTCTAATCATGTAGCAGTTCTTTTAAAAGACGTTCATAACAGCTTTCATTTCCATTT